TTTGGCACGGCCGCCATGACCGGCGATCGGTGAGTCGTGGTGGATCTTGACTATATCCCGCCAGAGCTCCGCATTCTTTGGGACGTACACGCACCCGCGGAACAGCAGGAGCCCTTGTTCGGCATTCCACTCCTCAAAACCCCTTCGCAGCCGGGGCGGCCCGAGGTCCTGTACCTTTTCAAGGGCCTCGGCCACCTCCCGATCCTTCTCCGAACATTCCCTGATGCGCTTCAGAAGCGACTGATCGGCCGTCACCGAGGCATGACCGCGCCTAGCGGAGGCGATGCGGAAGCGTTCTGGCTTGAGAACCACCTGATTGGTGTTATCATCCTCATCGCCGATCTGATGGTCTGATCGACGCGACAGGGCATCAGCCTTTCCATTGGACGTCCCGGCCTTGTGCGTGATGCGGAAGTCGAAGCGAGCTAGGAACAGCGACCATCGCGCTTGACGACGCGTGAGATGCTGGGATGTACACCAGTACTCGAGGTTCTTATGATCGGTCACGATCTCGAACTGATTGGGTAACCCCTCGAGATAGTGGCGCCAATCGTCTAGCGCCTCAATGATTGCGAGCATCTCCTTCTCGTAGATCTCGTAGTTCCGCTGTGCCGGATCCATTGCATGGGATCTGAAGGCAATGGGATGCCATTTGCCATCATCCTGCTTCTGCATCAACACGCCGCCAGTGGCATACCCCGAGGCATCAACCTCGATGCGCGTCTCCCAATTAGGGTCGTACAGCGCCAAGACTGGAGTCGTCGCGAAGAGCCGCTTGAGCTCATCGAAAGCGTGCTGCTCTTCTTCGCCCCAATGCCATGGGTCGTTCCCTGTGAGTCGGTCGAGTGGTCGCGAGATCTTAGCGAAGTCCTTGATAAAGCGGCGGTAGAAATTGGAGAACCCCCGGAACTTCTGAATGTCTTTTTTGTTCCGGGGTACCGGCCACTCATTAATTCCTTTAAGCTTCGCGGGATCCATCGCCACCTCATCGCCACCGAACACATAGCCGACGTAGTCGACCTTGGGAACGTCCCACTCGCATTTCTCAGGCTTCAGGAATAGATTGTTGTCCTGGAGACGACGCAGAACCTCGCGTGTGACCTTCTCATGTTCCTCCTTGTTGGTGGAGAAGATGAGTATGTCATCCAAGTACACAAGGATCTTGCCACCGACGATGAGATCGTGGAAGATCTCGTTCATCATCGCCTGGAAGGTCGCGGGGGAGTTGGTGAGACCGAAGAACATCACCAGGGGTTCGTACAACCCTCGGTTAGTCACAAAGGCCGCCTTCCATTCGTCACCAGCCTTGATCCAGACGTTATTGTATCCCCATCGGACGTCGAACTTTGTGAAGAGCGTAGCGCCGCGGAGCTTGTCCACCATTTCAGCGATCAACGGCAAGGGGTAACGATTCTTGACCGTGATTGCGTTCAACCGGCGGTAGTCCTGTACGGGTCGAAGCGTCCCTTCCTTCTTTTTGATGAAGAAGAAGGGGGACGAAATGGGCGACTTCGACTCCCGTATGTAGCCCTTCGCTAGTTGCTCTTTTAGGAACTTGTCTAGTTCCTCCTGCTCATTGCTCGACAATGGGTATACCTTTGAATGGAACGTGGAGTAGCCGGGCACGAGTTCGATCGCATGATCGTACGGCTTTCTTTCGGGTAGCCGTTCTGATGCTTCCTTCGAGAAGACCTTCAGAAACTCGTGGTACTGTTTGGGTACTGACTCCTCGGTGGTCTTAACGGCCTTCTTTTTGATCGCTTCCTCCGCAAACAGCTGGGAGTATGTATGTCCTGCCGCAACGAACAGCTGAGGAGCGCCGGGAAGCGTGACACCTTGCTCCCAGGCTTCGATCAATTCGGCCTCATCCCACTCTACCTCCACCGGATCATCTTCGGGTTCGAAGTCCGGGAGCACCTTGCTCCGGCAAGCGCCTATGACCGACCGTTTGGACTTCGGCGAACGCCTGCGCGCCGTGGGCCTGTCCCCCGTATCACGCACAGTCGTTGCTTGCTCCATTCGGCCAGTCCTCCTGGCACTGCACGCTTCAGGGCATCGTGATAATTTGAGGGAGCCTGTCTCCCAATCGATGTCAGGGTTGTGCTCGCGCAGCCAGTCCAACCCGACAATTACATCTTCCGGACCGATGTCCGTGACCGTGAACACCGTTTTCTCGACGTGTTCTCCTATATGCATCTGTAGCACTGCTACTTCCGAGATGCTTCCGTCTTTGTTCAGGGTGCCGTCGATATTGT